GGTGCTACCTAACGGCCCACACGGATGTTGCATGATGCATATCTATCTACACCTATGGCCCATTTCGTACCACTCTATAAAATCGGTCCCTTTTTTGTTAATTGTATTCCACGTATTCCTGTATATCCCACACGCATTCTGTTTGAATTCACGTCATGTTCTCCAATATTTTGCTTTTGCAAGTACGTCTTCCTGTGCTGTATTACCGTATTCCCACGTATTCTACCACTATGCTGTCCGTGTTGACAAGTATTCTTCGGTTTCTTAGGCTACGAGTACTTATGTTTGTAACTAGAACAGCAGAGAAAACGTGGTGAATACTGGCTGAATACGTGGGAATGCGCTAGTATGCTGCAGTAAGACAGCAGTCATAGAGGTTAGATAAGCGAGTTAGAGAATACGTTCAGAGTACAGGCAGAATACAGGTAGGAATACGGGCACATTCCACAGATATATTAATCTCGCCTCTATGACAAAGGTATTTTGTTGCTGTTTACACTGTGGGTAATATAAAACAGAACCGCTCAAACTATAACAAAAAAATCTCTGTAAGATTACCCACTCCATCCATGGTGCCCAGTACTGACGCCGCGTTTCCCCGTTGAATCTCAATCGACAAGCTCTGTCGAAGACATTCGTGCGAGCGTGCTTCTCCGGTTTGTTGTCGCAGGTATTATAGTATTGTAGGTATTTTAGTCTTTAGCAGTATTCGCCCGTATTCCATCCGTATTCTGCCTGTATTCCTACTGTATTCGCGAGGGATTTTCCATTATACCGAGTGGCCCAACAAAATGGCGGTCTGTGTTAATGAGGTGCGCTGGGTCCGTCCAGTGTTTTATTGATACTTAATTCATTTCATTCGAAAGTGCAAACATTCCAACATATAAAAGTTTAGCCAGATCAAGGTTTAGTGTAAGTATGAGATCTTCGAGAAATAATTTTTGAAAATGATCAGATTTTGAGGATGTCCTAGAAACGAAAACTCTTATTTCTCCCTTTCCAAACTAAAAATTGCACTGATCCATCAGAGTGAGTTACTGAGTCGCACTTTATTGATTCCGATAGAGGGATTGTTCCCTGTTTCTCTAGTGCATAAACGTTGGCATTCTACTGAACCTGAGGCCTAAACAAACGAGAAGACCAGAAACTTTACTTGGGTCAATCTTGTGATCTTTATAAGCCAGCTATTCGAAAAAATTTCCCATACCAGCGCTTCGACAGCTGACTTCATTCTAACCCGTGTCCGAAAGCTCATTCACCTAGCTATACTTATCAGTGGACTAGGCTTTTTTTGTTCCACCCTGTGATGCTTACAAAAATTATTACTGAAAATGTCCAAAAAACCACATAAAAAAAGCAAGAAAATTCAAAAAATTGTTTGTGGCATAGTTTACCCCGCATGCACCATGCCAACAGATATTTTTTCTGTCGAAAGAAGAGCATATTTTCTTAATAAAACAGTCGGAAAAGTTCGACAATGTCATACGGAAAAGAAGTTAGACGAAAATTTAAGGTCTGCGAGCTGGGTCATTATAACTTTCGATACGATTTCAATTGACGCCATTGCTAACAAAATCCTTTTCATACAAGATAAAACGTTTTCCTGTTTTTGGTAGCTAATAAAATTGCCTATTAAATGAGCCTACACAGTTTGCAAAGCGACAAGTGGTTTTCGAGAAACAAACCAAAAGCGGAGACCGCCATTTTGTTGGGCCACCCGGTATAGCTTTAATTTAGACAGGACTGTTGTCTTCTTTAGTGAGTCCCCGTATTCTCCCGTATTCCGTCTGTTTTCCCCATGTATTCTTGGGTTTCCAAATTAGAAAACTTAAAATACGCCTTGAATTTGGGCAGAATACAGGCGGAATACGTAGGAATACCGGCTCACCGGCAGAGAATACTGAAATCATATTATATATCGGAAGCGGAGAATACAGTAGCAATACACAGGAATACAGTAACAAAAAAGAGGGGCCGGTTTTCTAGAGTGGTACGAAATGGGCCATATCTAATTTTTAGGTTTTTTCTGTAAAGAACGAAAACAAATAGAATAATCAGAAAAATAAAATACGTACTAATTTTAGCACGAATTGCAGCCTGCCACAAATTAAACGCTTTTACCGACTACGTATTATTACAGGAAATGGCTATAGGCACCCCCTTTCACCCCCGTTATCTATAGGCACCCCCTTTCGCACCCACTTAGACTATAGGCACCCCTTTTCGATTAATTAATCTCTGCACCCCGTCGTGTGCGAAAGCTATAGGCACCCCCTATTGTCTGTTGCTATGTTTTAAGGTCGAATTTTGTTGACCTTAGATCATTTCAAAAAAGTCATTTTACCACCGGCTCCGGATCTTTTGCCTGTTCCTTTTGTAATATATGTGAGTTGCTGCAGGAGAAACAGCTCTGTAATAATAATGTCTGACAGTTCTGTAATAAGTAGCCCATCCGAAAATAATCCACGATCTGACAATGATCTGGTTTACCCAACCACTACCGAAGAAAACGACCTGAAGGACAATTACCCGGCTTTTTCCGAATTCGAAGCTGCTTTCAAGCAGTATCAAAGAGATACGTTCCAAACATTCGTAGTCAGGCGATCTGAAAGCCTGGGAAAAACGCATCCCAAAGCGGATACCCTGAAGTACAAAAAGATCGAATACGAATGTGTCCATCACAAGGACTACGAGAAAAAAGGTCAGGGGGAGAGGATTTTTACACACAGCCGGAAACAGAAATGCCCTGCTATCGTTAAAGTTGCTGCAAGCATCCGCGAAGCCACGGTGCGCATTACTAAGAAGGAAGTTGGGCATAACCATCTTCTGACCGAAGAAACCAGCAAACGAGCAAACCATCCAAAAGGGCGATATTGTCGTGCGCGTGGAAGATGCCGTGCGCATTCGTTCTATGCTGGCCGATCAGCCAAACCGGCCAATTGTCGGATGGAGTGCCTAACACACCTTTCTGTTTTGAATGGGTGACCTAATCATGTCAGAATGTCAGATCGTCAAAAAATGTTGTGAAACAAAAAGACTGTTAAAACATTGTTATCAGTCTTCTGCGAAAAAAAATAAAAATGGGTGCCTATCCCATAAAGAAAAACCGCTGCTCGGACTACAAACTGAATCTTTTTCCGTTGCTTTGAGAAGCGGTTGTATCCAAATCAAAGTTATATAACGTCAGATTTAAAATTTAGTTTTGTCAGGGTGGTTTCAGAAGTTCAGCAGTAGTCAGCGAAGTAACTCTCCCCACCCGAAAACGTTGAAACTGCACTAGGAGAAGAATTAACAGGTGAAACAAATCTGAGCAATCTCAAATTTGATAACTCTTAGTACATTTTGAGCAAGTATTTCACGTTATTTTCTAGCCAAATAATCGATGCAGTTGCTTGAAATATTGTTTTCAAAACTGTTCTTTAAATGAAACTTCAAATTTGGGATAACGAAGACTATATAAGGTAGAGATGCAAATATTAAGTGAGGTAAGTGAGAACAAGTAAGTGCGGCATACTTTAAAATCAGTACTGTATTGTTACGATCATATTCCTTCCAGGTAGATAAACACAAGTGCGGTCCGCATCTGAACACATGTAGAACTGGAAGGGTATCTGCTAATTTTTTTGTACAGAAGAGCGGATTCAAAATTGGGATTGAGTCCGCGTAGAGGCAGACGTGAGCTCATACAGTGCACAAAATGAGTTGTAGAAGTGCTCCGTCAGGAGCACAGCGGATATGTAGTGTAAATGTGTCGCTACTACCTGAAGTTTTAAAGTCAGCTGCAGCTTAGACATGAGCATGTTGCTACTCACAACATGGTAATTAAGCGATCTGGAATCCCACGAGAGAAGTCTACATTCAAAGTACAATTTGCCTTTGCGATTTTTTATGGGTATAGTCCGCGGATAAAAACGGGGTGCGAGAATTATCTAACGGAAAAGGGGTGCCTATAGTAAAACAGGGTGCAAAAGGGGGTGCCTATAGCAAACGGGGGTGAAAGGGGTGCCTATAGTCTCACCCATTATTATAACTTTATTACCTACATATGTATTGTAACCCGTATAGAAGGGCAGTAACAACCATCATCATTATCTTGCGGCAGTCGCGTTATCGGTTTGGTAACATGCCGGAATCTTTGACAAAGTCAAGTTCAACCATGTTACAAGCACCCACTCGTTGAAAAGGATTATAATTAGCATAGCGTATTCAAATAAAAAATGGTTAATTCAAGTGGTTGTCAGTTTCATTATACTGTTCTTCTACCCATTATACTAAAACTTGATAACCATTGAACAGTTATGAAATTTTTCCACAAAATGTTCTCAGCGGAACGGATGAGCTGCCATCAATTTTGTGCTATTATCGTACTCTCACCATCTTACCACTATGTTATCAGCCACAGGCTCAAACACCGACCAATCAAACTGGTTGAATTGATTTCCGGAAATGGACACGTCTGTCAACTTGTTTAGCGATGTGCTGCCACTGAGTGGTGCAAATGACTCGAACGAATCGAGTGCAATGGTGGACATTCGGTTGCGAATTAGCACCAGAGAAGTTAACTCAAGAAATCCAGCAAATGTGTTTCGCGTGATGACGGGCAAATAAGTATCCTCAATTTTCAAAATTTCAACTCCTTTTTTGATATTGACAAGAAAAACGCCAAACGGAAAAGGAGGGTTGTCAGACGTAAAATAGACGGTGCACATATCCAGGCGCGTGATGCTGGGAAGAGGCGGCAGTGGATCGGTTACGGGCAGAATGTAGGGATAACTGCATATCCCTAGTCAAAAAGTTTGTTATAAACTGTATCAACATACCTCAAATGTTAAGCCCATTATCATAAAATGTGCCGACGGCATGATTTTGGCAGCAGATCAGCATAGTAATTTATATCAACACAGAATCTGTATCTAAGTTATCCAATGAATCAAAATCCATATAACGTGTCAACCCGTTGCTTTCCAAAACAACAAGTCACAACAAAAGCGCCCGTCAAAACAATTCTCTTTACAAACGAAATAACGCGTTCGCGGTGAAGTACTGTATTCGCTCGCACATCTTGGACCACAGAGTGTGTGTACGGGAAAAACACGCATTGAATATACACACTCTAACCGGGCAAAATGCACGACTACGAAATATTGCTTATTTGGTTTCAGGATGAACAGTTCTTCTTGTGAATTTGTTTAATAAATCAAGACTTTTCATTTAAACGGCAATTCACTTTGGAAAAAAGGTTCTATAGCTGAAAGCTCGAATTGTTCTGTGGTTCATCGCCATCAAGAATGTTGACGCGGAACGTACCCCTCCCCCTCCAGGGGCACCCCAAAAACCACAACAAATCAGTTTGTAACTCGTGCTTACGCCAAAGCTGTCTGTTAATGGCTGCTTTCGAGCATAAACATGATAAAAATTGTTAGAGCTCTAATTTTTTTCATTATTCAAGAAGTTCTCCAGTCCAGATGTTGTAAAACATCAGAAATTTATCTAATCGCGAATCGCGCGTTTGGCCCGGTTAGAGTGTGTATATTGAATGCGCGCTTTTCCCGTACACACACTCTGTGGTTCAAGATGTGCGAGCGAATACAGTAACAGAAGAACAAGTATCTGTCGGTCGACCGACAATTGTAGTAATTTCCAAGTTAAAAAAGAAACAAATCCGCACTGCGCCCGGAGACTTCACAAAGGCCACGACAGCACCCACGAAGCTCGGCCATTTCGAACAGCCAGATCCAACTTAACCCGTACAGTCCCTTTTCTATCCGGAAAGGGCGGCGGGGCGTGGGTTTTGAGCGTAGGAGGAAGGGTTTGTGCCGGTTACATTCCCCGCGCTTTCCTGTCAACAAAGGGAAGGTCCGTAGCGGACAGCTAACTCCGTGCGGAATTTTTGGAGCATAGCGACCATGTAGAGGAGCCCAGCACCGACAAACATCCCACTTCGATTCCTAGAAAATGAAAATTGCAGGTTGACCGGCACACGTGCATCAAAAAGCCGATATTAACGGGGTACAGTACACTCACTTTGTGCACTGTTCGCACATGTCGCTGCATTTCCTTCCACTCGATGTCTACCCCACACAGCGCACACGTAACTTCGTACCGTTCGCCCCCGTCCCTAAAACAAAAAGCGGAATGTTGAAATAAATTCTTTTAATCATAAAATTTCTAATTACATCTTATAAACGTGGAGTTCTTCATTTCGAACTGCGCCATAGACTCGGCACTTCGCGCATTTGGGCTTGCAGGGTCCATGGACTGCATGCGGTTTGGTATATGGGATCTCTTTGCGGATGCAGGACAAACCAAAACGCTCGAATAACGTTCGCACATACTACAAGAAGAAAGTAAAATGAGGTAACGATATGTTTATGGATGTCGACATCCAAATATTACTTCATCTTTCCCTTTAATAGCGAACGGTTTAATCCACTGGAGTACAAATTCCGTGGTATCCTTACTGTCCAGCAGAACGGATGGGCGGAAAAGCGAATCAGCCAGCGCCGTACTCTTGACGGCGGCCACAGGAGTATCCAGCTTCTCCATCAGTTTGGCGACGTTGCCGTAATCAAATACGGTCGCTTCGTTGGCGTGCAACATGCGATAGTACTGGCTTCCGCTGGCCTCCAAAAAGTCATTATCCGATCTTCAAAAAAAGGTATAAATAGAGGCGATCTGAACGTGTTATTCAAACCAAAATTTAAAAGCACTTACCGGTACAAATTGTAATCCAGTGACGCCAGATCAAAAGTCCACAGCCACCGCAATTCTACACCAGTCAGCATGATGTAGCCGAGTTGGGTGGCACGGGCATCTAGGCCAGGAAAGATTATTTCAGCGACGTTCCGGCAAAATTCCATTTGTGCCCGAGGAGAAGCCTTTACGGTGGTTGGCAGAGAGGCCTGAGCAGTCGCATCTTCACATGGCGGTCGACCGCCAACAGCGATGGCGGCCTGGATAATGTCCACTGTTTTGCCGCTGTCATCAGCTGCTCCTTTTATCCACCCAAGTTTGCGTAGCTCCTTCCAGTTCGGGCTGCGCGTAAAAAAGAAAACACTCATACAAGCAAGAATCAAGAAAATGAGAAGTATAGGACAAACTTAAATTAATAAAACTGACGTACCTGCGACAGCTGGGACACAGATGTTTGAATAACGGCTCTCCCGCTTTCTTGTCCTTGTTTTTATCTTTTTCATTCTTCACTAGCGTCGCAAAGCATGCCGTGCACATAATGTTTCCACAGCATGGCGTTATGTTGTAGTCGTCTCCGTCTGGCGTCTGATGTACCATACATTTAAACGAGTCGCGGGCACGCTGTAAGACATAAGCATCAGATAAAAAGCACGTTTAAGCAATTTATACTGAAGTAAATCTAGATCAGTGAACTCAGATCTGCAAAAGGCCGATCGACAGTTTATCCCAAGAGTGCGAGAAATCACAAATTGTATTTTTGTTTATTTAAATGTATAAATAACTTGTGCTAATTAAAACAGCTGTTCTAAAAAATAGCTAGGTAAAATAGAGCATACCTCCGCGTTTCTTTTGATATCCTTGAGATCCGCCATCGCCAATATAATTTTCGTGAGACAAATGTCCGCGGGAATCTTGTCAACAACTGTTGAAAATACAGCCAAAATAAAATCAACATTTAACCGACGATAACTGTTTAAAATATTGCCAAATTAAAATCGATATGTTAGAATTCAAATTCACAAAAATCGCCTTACTTATCACTGACTTCAACCAAATCACCGGGTAAAATTTGGTTGGCTCGTATTCTTTGGATACCGTGCTTATTCGATCGGATGACTTTGGCAATTTCTGGCTTATACTCCTTCAGCGCTTTAATGGCTCTTTGGGTTTTCCTTTCCTACAATAATCGCACCGAGATTTTCAAAATACCGCTCTTTACGCTACCACAAAGGTTTAAAACATTTGTGCAACAACTGTATTAGGTGGTTTCTAACAGAAATTTACTCTATTTGCTACTACAAAACCGCCTTGGAAATGTCAGCCATTAGCTTCTAAACGTTCCCACAAGCAAACACTGTTGGGCAACATCGCAGCTGCACATCATCTCGGCTGGTAGCGCGCGCCTTGTCAACGTCAGCAGTCTATGGTACCACGGCCGAAAAGCATCAATGCATTCGCGATCAGCACAATCTAATGCGTTATCGCACAACTATTTATATTAACATCTAAAAAGACTTGCACATTAATCGTGCTCATTGCTCAATTAACAGACAGCTGCTGTAGCTACTTGTTCGGATCACGTTAAGACCATCATTCATTTCGGCTGTTTTTTCATGCCAGCTACTTTCTCACCCAATTAAAAATTCCCCGCCAAAATTTATTGAGCTACAAAAAGTAAAATATCAACAAAAGGGCGACAAGCAGCATGTACTTGGTTGCGGGCGGTGCATACATGTATGTAGTAAAAAAAGATAAAACAAAAAAGAAATTAATTAAAAAATTCTTCCACACAAGCAGGTATTCCAGATTTGCAAAGTACTGATTCCGAGTATTTCATTTCTCAGAGCCATAAAAAAAACCAGTTTATCCTTTGAACGCAAATAATGTAACCTCTGGCTCTTCCAACGCAGCAGACAAGAAATTCAACATCCTCAGCCACATTGTTCCACCTTGAAAACGCCTTCACGTACACACAACTTTAGTCACCGGTTAAAAAAATAAACTTTAGAATCTTTCATAAACTTTAGAATTTATTAACGAGTTTCTCGTCCTCTTCCAGTCTTCGTCGAAAATGAAATACCTAAACCATGTACACGGATGTTACGTTGCTAACCAACACCTTTATTCCTAACTGCATATTTTCGCCACTCTTGAGCGACCACCGCATAATCATGCCTTTTTCTACCGGCGCAGCGCCGTAACGAACCCTCGCTGCGTTCTTCCATGCAATTCCTCACAGCTTCCAGCTGGGCGCCGACTCTCTGCTGCATTTCGCGGCTCACTACTTGTTTAGACAATACGCTACATCACTCCCTAAGCGGAAAAATGTCACTGCTAAAAATAACCAAGAACAACGCATAAATCAACCACCGACCAAAATGCACGGGTTTTTCTTTATCAAACGGCAACCAATCCATGCAAATCAATCGCACAAAAAAACGCTTGTTAAAGTTTTAATCAGTTAAAGAGACTAAAGACATTAATTTCAATCAAACCTACATTTCATGACAATATTAAACATTTTCCTAAAAAAACCCAATCTTAAAATTTCCTGTCTAGAAATTTAAATCTTAGAAAATATTGCAGAACAAAATCCAGCAAGCAAAAAACTAGATTTTAACATCTTGGAATGCAGTACCGCCAGATTATCAATGAGACAAACTCATTAATCTCACAATAACGAAAAACCGTAAAATAACGAAATAAAATTTTGTAGCAAAATTAAACATTAATTTGCAACCAGTAAAAAATTAAAAAAACATTTTTTTCGCCAAAATAAGGATGGTTTTCTTACCTGCCACACTCCGACGACTGCATTAGCAATAAGAATAAACAAAATCACGAAGGGCTCCACAAATGCCGTTACTTGCTCATCATGTTCTTCAAAAAGGGCGAGAATCTGAACAAACAGGGAGCATGTAATTTTGCTGCGATTCCAAAGCAACAATTCTATTGAAAATTATATAAAAACTCACAACAGCGAAAATCACATGAAATACTTTAAGGAAATGGCCGAATATATTAATCATGTACTGTATCACCACCTGCCACGCGGAAACCGATTGAATCAACCGTCATTAATCAAATAAAAAACTCGACGAAAAAATCTTTTGCATAATCTTCGCTTTCGCTGTATTAATGTCAAATTCGGTTGTAGTGGAACAGGCAGAACAATTTTGCCAATTTAAATAGCAATATTAATCAGGGTACTTACAAAGGAAATGATAGCCGCGAGCAAGAGAATCTTGCCTAATAAATCGTCGAATTGTTCCAAAATAAGGGCCCATAAAGGTTTAGCTGCAAATAAAAATAAACCATAAACAACGGCTAATGATGTCCTGTTCAAACAAACCCGAAAGCCGTCGAAACCGCGGAAATTCGAAAACGTACAATAAAACGATTAATAAAATCAGATTATTTTTCCACACGTGACACGTCAAACAAACGTGCGGTATCCGCGAATAGTGACTAATCTGCGCATTCATACAGCTGACCAGGTGAGCGATAAAAACGCCGCAGTCTTTCTCTCAATTAATAAATAAAAATTTAAAGATAAAGAAACTACCGAATAAACGTGCGACAGAAAATAAAATTGCCTGAGTTTCTCAACAAGAAACACGGTGATTTTCTTGCCTGCGACACTCCGACGAGTCACGACTGCCTCAACAATAAGAATAAGCAAAATCACGAAGGTCTCCACAAATCTCGTTACTTGATCATCATGTTCTTCAAAAAGGGTTTAGCTGCAAATAAAGATATTGATTATTAGTATAATCCCAATACAAATTTAAATCTGACCATGCACTGCATTCAGCTCTTCGAGCCCAGGAAACTGGTTTCGACCGTGTTATCACAATCGTAACACATTTCGGCATACTCACAATGTAAGTTTGACGTATACAAAACTTAAGTTAACAGACGTAATGATAACTCGTAGAAGTCCGTTCTGGAATATGTAATTTACGTAAAAAGGAAATCAAAATGAACCACACAATAAAACGAAATCAAGAACTCTGAAAAGCTGTCTCCAAATCGATTGAAGTTCTTCGTTTGCGGCGTTGCAGTCAAAACTGAAAACCAATATGGCCGCTGACGCAGCAGCACGTGCGCCACATTAAAAGCTCGCCGCATGGCGGGTGGCGAACAAAACTGCATTACGCTGCCAAACCGGGCGGTTACGACTACTTTAAGCACCGGAAGTCTTCGAAACGGCAGAAACTATAAAATTAACGGCAGAAACTGTAAAATTATAATTTAAGTGGAATGGCGTCCAGTTTTCTGAGTGGATTTCATACTTGGAGCAGTGCCTAACGAGCTGCTGAATCGGTCGATATTTCCAAGTTTCTTGACTTGAAAGAATAAGACCGAGTTCCGGTCGATTCTATTTCTGGTAGTATTTATCATTTTTTCCAGACTATCATTGAGAGAGCTTCCTATGCAGGTAAGTTAGCGGTTCTCTTCGTTTGCATTTTTTGCGTCGTGTTCTCGCTGACGTGTTGTCTTGTGAGACCCATAATTGCCAGTCATGAGGAATTTCGTAAATACGGGTCGATGCCAAAATATTCTACAAAATCTAATTAGAATTATTAGCGTTTGCATTTTCCTACGGTTGACTCGTGCCCGTGTTGCTGCACATATTGTTCAACGTGTCAACTGTGGCAAAGTGGAGTGTACACTGCCTAAAGATTGTTGCAAAATGTGCAGGTGATCTCCACGTTTCCCGCGGCCGGTCGATGTGCCCAAGAAGCGTCTGCAGCGTTTGTCTGCAGCTTTTGTCTTTTTATGTGATCACATTTTGGATCGATCACGAAAATGGCTGCTCTTCGGACCCGTGTCAAAGCAAGTGCGACGCCGTCATCCAACGGGAGCAGCCTTAACGTTGTGTTCGTGCATCCCGATCTGGGGATCGGTCGTGCGGAGCGTCTCGTCGTGGACGCTGCTGTGGCACTGCAGAGCAAGGGCCATTCCGTCCGCTTCCTCACTGCTCACCACGACCCCTCTCACTGTTTCCCGGAAACCCGCGACGGCACTCTGGAAATCTGTGTCGTGGGTGAATGGCTGCCGCGGTCTTTAGGCGGACGACTGCACGCGCTGTTCGCCTACCTGCGCATGATCGTTTGCGCAGTGTGGCGATCATCGGCTGGAGTGGCTGGCAGTATGATGTCGTCTTCTGTGATCAGGTGTCAGCCTGCATTCCCGTGCTGAAATGGAGCGGAAAGCCGGTGATCTTCTACTGCCATTTCCCCGATATGCTCCTGACGCAGCGGGCTTCGTGGTTGAAGCGACTGTATCGTGCGCCCATCGACTGGCTGGAAGAGTGGACGACGGGAAAAGCAGACTGTATCCTCGTCAACAGCAAATTTACCGGTAATTCCCTATATCATTAGGTGTTTCCCAATGTCAGATTATCTTTCCTGTTCTTGCGATGCGATACCGACTGTTCACGTTGTCTGCACTCTGCACATTATCAGTTGTTTCAGTTCCCAGTAATTGTGATTAATTATGAATCAGTTATGGTGATATGATCGGTAATTTAACTTTGTTCGATTAGTATTTTCATCGATATTTAGTTATTGTTTAATTCAGGAAATTTTTTATACATTTTCATGGTTTTGTGGTTTGGGTTTTGTTTGTTGAGTGTCGACTGTGTGAAGTGACGAGTTCGACATTTCGTTACGAATTTTCTGAAAAAACGGTATTTTCGCGGATTGAGTTGATTATTGTGTTTACCGTTTTTTTATGGAATTTTCGAAGATACTTTTCATTCACTGAAAGGAGCGCTTCGTCAAGTCTTGTATCCATCGTTGCATTGCTCAACGTTTGACCGCTTCCAGCCGGCCGACGGACGCCATGCGCAGCTTCCGACAAGCGCGGATTATGTAATTCTGTCGGTTAATCGCTACGAAAGGAAAAATTAAGTGGAACTTGCCGTTGCTGCCTTTGGTATGCCCGCTAAAAACCTGATCCTACATTAAAATTTTTGCAGCATCCTTATTGCTGAATCTGAATTACATTTTTTATTGTAATCATCTGCTAACTGTGCTTCGGAACGCAGTATTTTCTCTAAGAGATTTAGCTAACCGCTGCTGATAGGCTTTTGTGATGGGATCTGAGCTGTCTTTTATTAGTGTTCGTTGAATTTCTCTATTATTATTCTTCTGAAGATTGGTCTGCCTTGCAATCTTACTGCTATCCCTCATTGTCATGCCAGAGTACGCTTTCTTAAATATCTTCCGCTTTTGGAAAGCAGAATAGCCTACTTAAAAAGTTGTTTTATTTTTCCAGCAACACTGTAGCATTTGCTTCCCTGTGAACTGACGCTCCACCATGGTCGGAAGAACGCTAAAATCCATCTGGTCATTGCCGGAGGCTACGACGAGCGGGTACCGGAGAACCGCGAATACCATCAGGATCTGGTGGACCTCGTGGAACCGCTGGGTCTTAGTGGTCACCTGACGTCAGACCTGATTGGCGTTTTTATTTCGTATGGAGCTTCATTTGAAGCAGTACCGCCGCAGCTGTTCTATGGCGTACCGTTAGGGCCACATAAAGATAACCTCAATACGTAACGTAATTTCTGAAACGGTAATTAAAGTAACCAAAGGTAACCAAGCGTAATTCAACGTATACCAATGTAACCGAAAGGAATCTTAATGTGGTAACGTTACTTGACTCAACCGGTAATTAAAGTAACCGAAGGTGATTCAACGTACACCAGTGTAACCTAAAGTAGACTTAACGTGGTAACGTTACTTAACTGATCCGGCAATTGAAGTGACGAAAGGTTACGACGCAGAAAAGACCGTGCACCGATGTAACCAAATGGTTTCATAAGGTGGTGACGTTATTTTAAACTTTACCGATAATTAAGGTAACCAAATTAATTCAGATTACACCGATGTAAGGTAAAGAAGTCTGATCGTTGAAAAGTTACCTAAACCTAAATTGTTATTTAAGGTAACCGAAGGTATTTCAAGCCATATCTATATAACTGGAAGAACACCAATGTAACCTAAGTTAAACTTAACGTAGTAACGTTACATACCTCAACCGGCACTTAAAGTAACTGAGGGTTACCAAGCGGAATTAAATGTAAACTATTGTGACCAAAATTGCCTAAACTTCATTTAAACTAACAGCAAATGTAACCACAGGTTACAAAGCCGGATTCAGCGCACACCGATGTAATTTGAAGACACCGTACTGTTGTAATCTGTTAGCCTAAAATAAACTCGTAACATATGTAACCAGACGAAACCAAGCAGAAATAACTGTATGTAAATGTAACCTTAAATCATGTGACGTGACGTTATTTAACAAAATAACCAAAACAAGGCCGAGCACAAAATATGTCACGCATAAACAGTTTCACAAAATCACATGAAACCCTTCTTTTTCGGCTTCTTGGGTAGCACGGGTTTCCGGACGTCTTTGCCAGCTTTGTCAGAAAGTTTGGAGTTGTCCGCCTGCTGCGTGTCGACACGCAAATCGTTACCTCGCGCCTTTTTTCTAACACTTCCAGAGTCTTCTTCTTCATCCGAGTAGACAACACCTTTTGCCGGAAATATAATGCGACATCGTGGATTGTGAATACTCATTCCAGGCTGCAGACGCCAATGGGTGTTACGCTCCTTGTAGTTCGCACCATGTATAGCTGAGGCCGGCGGAAGGTCTGATTCATGTTCACTCGAACCGTATTCTGCCACCTGACTGACTACAGGAGACATTTTCATAGGCACTGTTCAAATAAAAAAGCTTCAAGCTACAAGCAGAATGAAATTTATACAGCCATCACTGCACACGCAGCACGATGCATCGACCTACCTGTTGTTGGCTCAGACGATGGAGCTGCAACATCATCCTGCGCGTCGACGCGCAAAGCACTGTCATCAGACTGTGGACAATCCATAATAACTGCCTGCTTAGAAGGAATATGTACCAAACAACTACAAATAAGACAAACGAGGACTATCCTACCGCAGTTTTAAGTGCTAGCTTTGATTAGTGTGCGAGAACATGTTGATCGCGTTACGCGGAAATTGGTACTACATTTTTAAGTTGGAACGCCCCAGGTGCCGGACCGTGTATACCAGCTAGCGGCCCCTTTGAGATCAAAGTAACCGACGGTGCGAGGGCGCTGGCCACGCCTCCGCCCTTTTCTTTTCAATTGGGCAAATACGAATCTTACAGCCAGCCCCCTAGATGGCAGTTTTGATAATAATTATTTATGGCAATTTTATTTAACTCGGTTGAAAATTACCGAAACCTAAACATAATTCGCGCAAATAAATATTTGTCGCATATATCAATATTTCTTGCAAACAAAAAAGCAGCACAGAAAATCATGACAAACTCAATCTACTGCTTGTCGACAAGCACACCGTTACATGATGTATTGATTATTGGGAATAAACACTGCAAACGTAGGAGAATCTGTCACTGGATCAATCACGACAACTGCATGGCGGAATATCGAACACAAGTTAATTGCCACACATTCTCTGCGCCGCGAGCATTTTCTAAAAAATTCTGGGCTTTCTCCGCCAGGCAACTTAAACCTATTAAATGCAACACTCGGGATGATGTCAACAACCGCTCCAAAAATATGGGCATCCGCGTCGTAGAAAAATATGAGGAGCTGTGCCACTTCATGGGCAACAGTTTGAATCCAACTGTTGATCCGACGGACTTTTCGTCCGTACCCTCGGCACTCGAAAGTCACATTGTCATCTCTGACAACTGCGCTGTAAAACTGAAGACTTGCTGGCATTTCATCTGCAGCAAGAAAGTTCAAAATTGCGGTTTCTTCTTTTGATAAAAGCGGAGGTTTTTTTGCGGGTCGACCCGCAAAGTGATACTTTGTTCCATTATAGCTCAACACCGCTTTGGAAGTGTTATCTTCGTAACGTCGCAACAATTCGATGTGCTGATAGTTTCGAATAATCTGTGAGCAAACATCCGTGCTTCCATGGACCGAACGGTTCAGCTGGCCCAAGAAATCCTCGGCATAGAAAGTTGACCATTGGTAGGCTGGACCCCAGTTATTCAGCGCATTGGCAAAATGAAGTAACTGGTGTGTATTGTAAAGCATTTTGCGTTTTCCGTACAGTTTCTCGAATTGCCCAGAAAACTTCTCCACAAGTTGTCGCACCAATTCGGAATGTTCTTGCAAATTTCCGTGATACAGTTGGTGATCCGTTAACAGAAGGTGCACAGCCATTACCAAATCCATTAAATTTTCGTATAGGACATGAGGCACTTGTCCATCGAAGACGTAAAACGCGCCGTACAGCAACAGATTGAGGTACTCAGTACCATGATAGTATCCGCTTGCTGAAATAGGTGGAATGGACCGGGGAAATTCGGATGGAAACTTAATTCTTGAAATTTGGAGGTCGACCTCCACAAGGCGAGCATTATTCAACACTTTTTTCCTTTCGTCTGACATTGCAGCATATGCTGCCAGAGACTTCATACAATCTCTCGTCCAGTACTGAAGAATTTTCTTCATTTGTCCTAGGCATATTGCGTGAAGCACATCTGGTGGACATGACAAAGAAGGGTCGATCGAGGTTAACCGCAGTATTTGGGAAGGTCCGTTGCAGCCTGTAACAGGGTGTCCGTTACGTACTGCATCCTTCGAAGATTCCATGTACACTGATTTAGTCTTCAGTGCAAATGCTCCACCCACACCGCAAGGATACACACGAACGCCAGCTACAATTTCACCAGGATGCAGGCAGTAAGTGCAGCCGTATTCCGCTAAGAATGATACATGGAGCATAGCATCCATCCTTGCAACGGCATCAGCAATAAACAATGCAGGCATAATTCGAAAAGTGTGGTGTGTCGACACACAGAGGCGCTTGCACTCGGTCGTAAATAATTGAAGCAAAATCTGCGAACTCGGCTGAATCTTTCCCGCCGCAATGGCATACAAAAATGGCCGACGGTACCGTTTTCTTGGCGGAAGTTCATTAATCAGATAGTCGAAAATTGTCACGCAACCGTTTTCACTGCCACCAATCCCAAAAACGTTTCCAGAATCCATATGAAATGTAATTGTTAAATCGGTGGCTCCAACTTTTATCTCTTTGTATCGCTCTCCATCTTGAACGTCCAACATGAGCGTATCCTGTGGCTTCCTTGTGAATACTTCACTTTTATTTTTCTGAAGGCTCAAATATCTTGTTATGCTCTCCAACATGGGGAACACGTAGAAAACGCCACCGGTTTCTTCCAGCTCTTTTTTCGTTTTGCGAGTCGACTCGCAATCAGCGCTTGCACAAGACAATGGCTCGATTAAAGAAGAATCTTCTCCAATATAATTCCCATGAGCCGGACAATAAAAATGTTTTGCGGCTGATAGCAGATGTGGTTCCAAAATCTTGTCTAATTTATAAAGATTGTCGGGAAATTCTTGTCCGGATACCGGACCAAAAAACTTCAGAGTCGCATCCAGCTGGATGCGGGACATCCGATGTTTCCGTGATATACGTAAAAACGATAAAACCTTCTCGAAGTTGCTTTCTCCTTCACTGTTGCACAGCGCAATTAAATCTGGTTCTGCTTCAATCAGATCCTCAGCATCCGACCCAACTTCATCGTTGTCGTTGAAACACCGAACAGCAGTGCTGCATGTCGACATGCAATCATGCTCTGATGCGCCCTGGTTAAAAACAATAAACTACTGCAGTGTCAAAAAATATTTAGTGCTGAGCAAATACCATAAAAGTAAACATCATCTTTTACCGGAATTTTTATCATTTTTATTTATTATGTGCTTACCTCAGTGGGACGCTGTGGGCTCTGCAACTGATGAACATCCAGACCAAGAAAACTCGCGACTCTCCTTCGATAATAAGAAGTTCTGCTTAAGCCTTTCTTACCAAAAAGCCGATCAAGACCACTACTTCGTTTTGGTGCAGACATTATAAATGCGAAAAATTGAAATACAATTGAACGACAAATCAAATATAAATTTGAAAACCATTTAAATTTCCATTTAGAAATTTTGTGAAGGCGAGCTTGCATGTCGACATGCACATTTGCGGTACACCCCACGGTTACCAATAAAAAGGCACACGATCACGTAAAGGCCTGTTACCCTCGATCTGAACAAAGCTCTGCGATAGGTGCATTCTGAGCCAAGCTATTTTTCTGCTGTCTGCTATTAGCTGGTATTCATGATTTAAAATTAACTATAAAGATTGTTCCACTTTTTCCACTTGCTGAGCGTTGTCTCGCTAGACAAAGAACAAAAAGTCAGAAGTCGGTTTTTTTGTTTCCAGTATTATTCAAAATTTGATGGCTTTTGCGCTTTTTGAACCTTTTGTTTCAAATGTATTGGCTGTTGACAGCCAGTATAATTTTGAAAGCTCATACGGGTAAAAATCTTGATTTTTCAGCCATTACCGATATTGAAACACCATGTCATGCGAGCGAAAGCTGCGTGAGCGGAAGGGCACTTCCATGGAAGAGCAATGCGAAGACCCTACTTTGATGGAAAGAGACGAGATCCATCGCCGGCATGCTGAACGAAGCGGTACATAATTTTTCGTTTTTAAGTGTTGTCGGTCCCATCTGTTCAGTGAAGATCGGTAACCGTTTCACTTTTTCCTGAAAGCCGGAACGTTAGCTTCTGTTAATGCGCTTGAAATATTGCTAGCCTTTACGGTTATGTTACCCAATGCGCCTAATTTATTGAAGTGCGGCAAGTGCATGTCGACATGCAGAAAGTGCACGGATAAGGAATTGAATTGGAATTACAAATTTTTTATACGTTAATAGGTAGACATAATATAGAACAGGACCTATAAAAATGAAGTAAATAGTGCAATTTTGAAATTTTGGGTTTTTATTTTTGTAATAGGTTGTTACATTCTGCGGCTCACATGTACTGCAAGTCGTCGTGCACTTTGTTTCAGATTTCTTGGTCGTTGTTTTTGAAAGCGACAAGATTCCCATGCTGTTACCAATGAGCAAGTCGGCAACAAAAGCACAGTGGGAACTGTGCGATGGGTATGACTATGGGGAATTCCTAGTGCCTGGCAATTTCATCAGCGTCCATTACAAGCGTGAAGGGAACACAAAGCAATTTTTTGATGCCGAAGTTGTATTAGTTACCAACAGCAAGGAGAAAGCTCTTGCGCGTTTTAATTCACTGAAGCCAAGAAGCGGAAAGGTAGACGTATTTGAATGTTGGAAGTCGACTTCCATAAATACACATATCCGCCATAAAATTTGGATTAATTTTTTGATTCAGAAAAAACAGCCGTTTACCCCATCGAAACGGGCAGCCGCTGACGCGCTTTTCGATGAAATCGGCAATTTGGGCACCGAACAGGACTGTGTTACTGGCGGGACTGATAAAAACCAGAAGTCTGTTTGGAAATTTGATCCGTATACTGGAAAACCAGTGGACGGTATCCGAACATTTTTATCGTTGTTTTAAATAATATTCTGAAGGTCGACCTTCATTTATGGTGATTATAGGTGAAACTGAGAGCAAGGAAGCGGGCCGAAATTCCCAGCACCAGTCCAAACGCAAGGAGGAAGGTAAATTGTTCTCCGTACTGTTCCGCTCGGTTTTCTGACTCGGTTATTTAATGTTATTAGCAAAATTATAAAAAACAACCACAAAATTGATTTTTGCGTGAATCAAATAAATGATTTTTTAAATATTTATTAAAAAATTTTAATATTTGGTATTTCAAAAATTTATTTATTTTTTAAATTAAATTTGTTATTCCAGGTTAGTTTCTTAAATGAAGGTCGACCTTCAACCAGTTACAGAAAACATAATATTTTTACTACTTTTTGCAGACTTGCGTGGTGGGAAAAGCAAGATAAATATTTGGCAATTCCCAGATACCAGCTCTGATGAAGGCATGTTTTTGAACACGACATTGTCCCTTAATCACAGTCTGCATTTATCCTGATTTAGGTGAGGTCAGCAAGCCGCAACGCGTATCGTCGATGGCAAACAGCGAAGCAAAAAACGGTGAGCAAATAATACAAAATGCACGAACATATGTTAGTTTTTGGTATAGGAAGTAAAGCCACTGCGCAAGCTTTTGGCAGACTGCATTTTGTGAAGGTCGACCTTCAGTATGATAAATTATTAGTGTGTTTTTAGGCGAGAAATATCCTGACCGGAAGTCAATTGAAGAAGGTAAACTCTCACTTTTAATCGAGCTTTTAGTGTTTTAGATAACATAGTTTTTTACAGATCTCAATTTGGGCATGCGGAATGTGCGATACAGTACAGAAGGTGAGATCTAGTGATATGCCTAAACTTTCTGACAGAGACCGCACTCTTTTAGTATTGTCCATCAATTTTACGTACGATTTTAACAGTTACGTAATTAATTAATATGATTTACTTTACAATGCTTTGTGTCCCTTTCATGTGTCGGTTGACCGACTATTTGTAAATGAGGTAATATGCTATGACTTTGTATGCGCAGATGAAACCATGGTCGGCCGTAAATCAACTAAGCAGGCGCACGAAATCAGTGAACAGCGCAAGCACAAGATCTGGATCATGGGCGTAAGATACCGTTTTCTGAAATCCTTGCATTTATTTGCCTTTCTAACTCTAAAACGGTAACACTGCATAAGCGGTAAGCGAGGCGAATACCGAAACTCTTTTATTACAGAGTCCGTGCAAAGCAAACCGACTGGGGCGGATTTGTTTGGTAAGCAGTCTGGTAAACAGTTTGCTTGGTAACCAGTGTAACTGCATAAAGGCACGCGCATTCGTTTATTTTCAGGATTCGGGTCGACCCGAAATAAAATGGTGTCTTTGCGCCCTTACGCAAACAAGCGAAATAATGGTAACCATTTTGTGCTTCTGTGTCGTGTTTAAAGAAAACGGAATTAAAATTGTCATTTACACATTTTCTGCAGAAAAACGCGAATTTCACTCTACGAGTGAGCAAACTTTTCGATCCAGCAACGAACTGAATCACACCAGGGATGCACGTGCTGCAGGTCGCAGGCACACACCAACATTCGCGCAAGAGGAAGGAGGTGATAACTTTTTTAATGAAACTGATTTTCTTAGGTCCGCGGTGTTAATAGTTTTTCGTGTTTGTAGATTTTGTTGGTAGCAAGCGAAAGCCGTTTCCACTGGTTGCTAGGAAGGAAAAACGACAAAAAAGTAACTCCGAACGTCGTTTTTACAATAAATTATTTTTTGATGTCGACATCAACATTTTCATTGTTTCAGAGCGGAGTGAGGAGCAGAACGCTCTACTTGCACAGCTGCGGCGACAGTGGCGCACACGTTCGGCCGACGTGGTGGAGCTGTTCCCTGGATCTGGTCACTACTTGCCTGCCGCGCGGTTCCAAAATTTCTAGGTCAACCTTACTCCAGCTCGCGTACAGATGGATGCTGTGAATCTTGCGTTACTGTTTTTTGGATCCGAAGACAATGCCCTGCGCTTGTTTACTGGAGACCACTTTGGATTGAAGTGTGCCTTTGGCAGCGACCTGCTGAGAGATGTTTTGGGTAATTGTCTAAAAAATATTTTGTTATGTCAGCAGTAAATATTTGCTACGTTTTCTACAGGATACATCAATCAGTATCATCCGGGGATCCTGACAAAACGTGCGACGCCAATTAAAGAGATTGAATTGCTGCAGGCTTTCAGCCGAAAGCTGTACTATTGTCGCCGGAACCATTCCAAGCCTGATCAGTCAGGGTACGCCGCGGATCTGGACTGATCCATTTGGATGTCGACATCCATGGTTATACTTGCCATCGTGGCGATAATTATCTTGTTATGCATTTTAGCAATGTCTATCTAGTGCTGCATTTTTTGTAATTTCAAGCACCATTTTTGTTCTCCGTTTATGCTTCTGGCGAATTATCAGTTTATATTTTTTTACCTAATTATGTTGGTGTTTTCATGTGAAAGTATGTCTCGGATGTTTGCCTTTTTGTGTACAACTAGTTATGTGGAATATGCCAAAATAAATACAAAATGGTATCTGATATCCATATCTAAATGTTTCATATTTGTAAGTTTAATATAAAAAAGGAGGTAATCCCTAATATCTAAAGCTAATTCAAAAGTAATGATTAAACTATATGATATTGCTGACGAGGGTATGTGTAATCCCGTTGGAAACGAGCCTATTTGCAGCCAATCAACACTGCGTGGAATATCACTTAAGTTATACACCGGCTGGTTGCATGTGCAATCATGTGATTCCACAGTATACCCATACACCGGCCATACTTCTTTTTTGCAAGCCGGTAAAGTGTAATGGCTGTTGAACTCGCTACTCTGGCAACCAAAAAATGGATTTAATGGAGTCAAGAAAAGTGTCACAAAAATGAGGTGAATTAATGCAAAAACATCCATTTTTTGGACGGCTAGAACCTGCAGAAAGGGCTCTCAGCAAAAACTGTACATGCGACGTAAACGGCGGCTATTCCGGTGAGATGGGCGTAATATGAAAAACCGCTTTATGCTGGTGATGTAGTTAGTACAGACTAAAGCGTTAAATATACGACAAACAGAGAAGTTTCTTATTGCCTCTGGTCACTACTTCGAAGTATACACGCATTTTGAGGGAGGTATAAAATCTGTCGTTGACACGAAACTGAATGCAGTTTCCGAAGCGTTACGACTACGACCTTCCGCGAAAGTGCAGATGTTATTCATCATCTTCGGAAATTTATCCGCAGACCGAGGATGACTAATTACGAGGTGAATGATCTAATAATTATTTATCCGATTTAGAGGGGAAGTTAACAACAAAACAAAGCAAGCATTTCAAGAACTAAGAAAGAAGAACTGAATAGTGAACATTCGGTTGCAAAAGTTTTGCGGACAAGAAGAACAAACTTTTTCCAAAATATGTACAATTCCCTGACATTGACGGATTTAGAAAATTTTTAACTCGGAATTTTTTCGTTTTCCGTGTTGTTGTACCCCGATCGCAAAATATGTGTTTAATACATAGTTTTAATGTCCATCCCTCATTTTGCATACCAGCTATTAAAGATTTGACAAAAGTATAGGGTTAAACCTGTAGTTTCTCGTATTATTGCTCCTGTAGTGTATTGCAGTTATTACTGCAAAATGCGTAAAAAAATCCAGCAGAAGCCGAACTCCAGGTTACCGCACAACTTAATTTTTATCACGATCGTGTTTGCTTATAAATGACAAAACTGTTCGATTCGTCCAGCACAGAATAGACCTCTGATTAACACGAAACATCGTAAGTAAAGAAAGGTATTCTGACAGCACGCAAAAGGCTCCGGATACTTCAGCACTGCGCCACGCCATAGCAAGACGTGTCGTACGAAAACTGTGTACCGGCAAAAATGTTATCGTACGTCAGAATGCCGGTGCAGTTCACACTGAAAACACTGGGGAACTCTCCACTGTTGGTGACCGCCGGTGTCTTATAGCTCCCAATCACTTCGATTTCGCCGGTTTCTTTAGGGGCGGTCAAGTGCAATTTCTGTTTGAGGAAGTTGCGGAGCCACGCCAGCGAGCAGTCACAGTGCAGCCGGCGTACGACGGCAAAGTCAGCTTCGTTTAAAGGGGAATCGTCGGCCCTGTACAAAGCCTTCAATTCCAGACCGAGCCCGTACTCCAGCATCAGACTGTCCAGTCGCGGCAGATCGGTGAACGTGTGCGCCTCTATCATAGCGATGGAGCAAATGGTGAAGCGGATCATCCGCACGTTCTGCATCTGGGAAAAGTCCCGTTTCCTAATCGTCAGGTTTCTGCAGCCTTGCAGTTCCAGGGTCACCAAATTTGGAAGTGTACCGGCAGCGTAGATTTTGCCGGTGATAATCGGCGTGGCGCAGCGCAGCACGTGCAGCTCGATCAGCAGGTGACGAACCGGGTCGATGACGTCATAGTGCACCGGATCGTCCGTGTCAGCGCGTTCGTCCAACAGGAGGGTTACCGCGCGGTCGGAGCTGATGTTGCGGATGTTGAGAGTCAATTGGGAGGCCGCGGCGCGGACTCCGTTCAAACAGCGCGCTTCGATGTACGTCAGGTAAACCGTGCGCCGACCCAGTCGCTGATGAGAATAGGACTGCACTAATGGAGCAATGTTGCAGAAAGTCGTTGAGCTGTTCCTCAAAGCAGAGTAGGCCTCATATTCGGCTTGCGTAAAATTATCCGTGCGCAAGGATAATTTCTCCATTGGGACGAAGGGTTCGTGAGTTGCAGTGGATGCTGATAGTGCGCTACATTCGACTTCCAGTTCGCTGACCGGGTCTAGAAAACCAACAGAAAATTAAAATAAAAGTGTGAGTTCTGCAAGATGTCAACGTACCAGCAAACGCTGCAGCAAACAGAATAGCGACGGTAAACAAAAACACGTACGCCCGGAAATGCATAATTTTGGGCTGCTTCTGTTGCGTAAACAACTTTCCTCCGTTCTGCTTCTCGTTAGTGCAGATAAAACGGCTGCAGTTAATCGAGAACTTCTGCCAAAAGTTAACAAGAAGCCGCCTGTACTGCATGTCTATATTTAACTGTCCCCGACGCGCTGTCTTCAAGCTTTACAATGAGCGTCTGCTTTGATATCCATCTGCACCTACATCGATCACGTAAACAGATACCGCACTGGAGCGTATAAAATTGTAAATTCTTAAGCATTCCATGTTGGTCATTTTACTAGTATATAAGTATGGAAATTCGTGCATAAAGATTAGCAGATTAATGTTTGTTCTAATTTAGAACAGCAATGGCATGCGCAAACGCATACAGACATTGTTTATGAGAATGTTTGACAATGGGAAAGGTCCACAGTTACTGGTGCGACCGCAATATGTATTGAAATAAATGTCCGTGTGTCTGTGGTAGTACAGCTGATATGCGTAGCATGTACATAATACTGCACACTTTTTTTAAATTTTCGCTTAGCCGTGCTCTGCTGATCTTTGGAGATCAGAAGTCATTTTTTTACGAAAACTGAGCAAGCTATTACTAGAATTTTCTACGGATAATGGGATTTTTCATAATAATGGGATTAAGACCCGAAAAATGAGTAAAGAAAAAAGGCAGGTACAGAATTTACACTTCATGTCCAAACACGTAGCAAGCAGTAAGGTTGTTTTGTCGTTTTCTTGCTGGAGTGGTTTCATTCTACCACATTCATAATCTCGTAGGGGCTACCTATAGCGTAGTTAGTGTGTATTCTAATCGGGATTAGAGCTTTATGGATAGAATCTTACTTGAACTACCTTGCTGACTTCCGCTTGGGCCCCTATCCTTCGGTGACGTTTATCCACTATCATAGCGGCCATTTTTTGTGATGCGTTTGCTTTCTGCAGCATTTGGCATCATTTCTCACTTTGTAACAAACAGATATTTTTTTACATTGTTTAGATTAGAGGACCTGTGCTGTGCTCAGGACTTTTGATCTTTATCGAAACCAGCGATGAAAATGCAACATAAAAGCGTTTGTAAATACCTACAGTCAATTTCCCAGTTTTTGTTTGTACGTACTGTAGTGAGTGTGATTATATGCACACTATTCTTGCTGTACAACCGCTGCACACTGATTTTAAATGTTAATCAATGCTTGTAATTGCACAGAGCCGAAGCAGTCTCAGCCTCTGTTTTCAAAGCCTCATTCTCCGCTCTGTATAAGGCGCCCCCCATTTTTTCAAAGTCAAAAATTAGGAAACGGGCTGTAGAAGAACAACGTCAATGCTCTTCATCAACGTACGCAGAGAGGTTGCCACAGCCAATGGAGATCCGCCCTCGAGCCGCACGGTGACAGACTGTCCAGGGAGCGCTGATTTTCCTCAAAGGTAGCAACCAGTAGACTGCGCGTGAAGAAAGCCCGGCTCGTGTAAACTCAGAAATTTCGTTGCGGGCTACCCTAGGTGAATAAACTGCAACAACAACAAAAACTGTGGACTGGTCATTTTCAAACTGTCAGTACAACGTTGGTGGTTTGAGGTGTCCTCCCCGGCATGCACAAAATTTACAGTGCGATCGGAAATTATCTCGCTCTCCTGTATTCTGGTTCGCATTATCAGTTAACAGAAGCACAGCAAAAGTATGATTAGTTGGTTACGAACCGTGCAGTCAGTCTGTAAATTTTGTCAGGCACCTTACAGCTTTAATTACTTTTGGTCAGCCGACACGGACGTTGTATCCATGAACCGTTTCCAGAACGGCATGTATGACCTAGGTATCTCTTACTTTTCTGGCTACAAAACCAAGAAAACGACTACCAGAAAACCAAATAAGTACTTAGTACAAACTGCAGACTTATAAATCAGTACTATTTAAATTATTATTATCTGGCGGCGCTTGCGTCATTGGTTTGGTGACACGCTGAAGCTTCTAATCGTTCTGGAAGTAACGTGCAGCCAACGCACACCGTATTCTATACAAGATGCCATTCTGCATGCCATGAATAACCCATGATGTATCATGTATCGATCTGTTTTTCGCAAACGTTTACTCACTGCAGCCACTGCTCATATCGAACGTATGTTTTCTGATTCACCCTGAGCTGCCCTAATCCAAGTCAAATTTATATAAGACATATCTATGATGACATCTTGATTACCAGATTTATAACGTTTAAGGTTACCGAGTCTCCGCATGATATTTATTCGTACTGCTTGAAAATTTTATAGTAAGAATGCAGGTACGGCCCCACTTTCCAGAATACAGCATGGCTCGCCTGGATCTCTGCCTAAAAAATGCTTCGTTGTGCGGTGAAGAATCAGCACTTTACCAACAATCTGCTCTTATCACCCTTCTCGGCGGAAATTGCTCTTGCGATGGCACATCATGGTTCCAACGGTCGAACAAAAAAGGAAATCTCGCAAGTGTTGGGTCTCCATGACGACTACAGTACGCTCGATGTCGCACGTACTCTGCGCCAGATCCACGTGGATGAAACCGCGGACAACGGTTACGATGAGCTTGGTAAATATTTGTAGGCATTGAGCCGACTGAACGCGCTAGTGCATTACGACATTGCCATTTTGAATTAACAGGCTGTTTTGTAGTGCCCAACGATAATCACAAGCTGCATATGGCCAACGGTGCATTCTTTAGCAAAGATGTCTACCTAAGCAGAAACTACATAGCAGAAATGGAGAAGCTTTTCCTGTCCACCATTCAGGACACTGACTTCGACGACGAGCGCGATGGTGCCGCGGTCTACTGTATAAACGAATTTATCAAAGCCAACACTAAGAACATTGTATACGATCTGCTGTCGCCGTTGGATATGGCCGAGAATGATGCCAAGTTCATTTTGGTTAGTGCTCTGCATTTAACAGCGCGTTGGCACCAGCAGTTCGACCGGGCCGAGACCAGAGTTAAGCCTTTCACAACGGCGGCCGGTGTCAGCATTCCGGTGGATACCATGCAGGAACGATTCATTAATTACAAGGTCCACATAAGCAGGGAACTGGATGGAGCTATGTTCTTGGAATTGCCCTTTGAGACCGGATACTGCAATGCCGTGTTCATTCTACCCGGAAAGACAGTGCCTGGGAAGTCAAAACACGCCCCTCGCGCACCGCCCAATCAAGGTCTGGCCAGTTTCATCAATGCTTACCGCAGAGAAGCTCCAGCATGCGATGCGGAAGCTGTGCAAGGTGCTGCATGTGACAGTGCAACTGCCGCGGTTCCATGTGGAACGGAGCTGGAATTTGCAGCCCATGCTAAAACATTTGGGGATGCCAACGGCGTTCGACGAGGAGACGGCTGATTTTTCTGATATCTCTCAGCACTCTCAACTTTCCCTGCAAACTGTCAAAATAAAAGCTTGCATCCGTAAGTAACACAACGTTGTACAGTTGGTAGATTACGAACTGGTACGTTTAAAATGTATCACTCGTCCGCACTAATGTCAACTACGTATTAATCCAACTTACTCGTAGGCAGTTTCATTGAGTTTAGCACAAACCTCGCGAAGCCACGTATGGAGGCGGAGTTGCTAACTATATGGAAACTGTATTCGTTTCAAATATGAAACCGATATAAAGCCGATATAAACCCACCTGAAAGCCGATATAAAGCTGTACATCGCATCTCTGTAGTCGTGCAAACAGGCAAAATATGACCGGAAATTCTTAGCGCAATTTTTTCCTAGATCTCGATGAAGAAGGAGTGGACGCTTCGGTATCCACCCTCATCGAGCCGGTCAATGGAAGGGGTTCGGGAAAGGCCGAATTTATTGCAGATCGCCCCTTCCTGTTTCTTATGCGTCATGTGAGCAACAACACAATTATGTTCTTTGGATATGTGTGCGATCCCTCTTGGTAAAATCTACTTTATTGTGCGCTAACTGTGCGGTGCGGCTGAACACACTGATACAAGCGCAGCGGTACTGTGGTCGTTTTTCTGGGTCGGCCAAGATTACCTTTGCCTCCCCTTTGCCTTTTCACTTTGCCTTTTTCAAGTTCACCTTTACCTTTGCCTTTGCCGCCGTCAACACCTTACCGTCCCATTTAACTTTCCCAAAATGCCGTTTTAAATAACCTTTGCCGTCGGCTATAACCGTTGCATGACACAATACCGTCAAACACTTTACCATTTTCGGAGCTTATAGTCGTCATCCAGGTTATAAAATTATTGCTCATTAAACGATAACATCGCCCTAAATCTAAATTTGGTGACGGTGACCGTCATTACGCAAAAACTGGACAACTTAAACCTTCAAGGTTGCATCGATTTGGAAAGGACTGTGGGTTGCAATTCCCAGTTCTGACCTGCAAAAAAATGTTCAAATTTTTTGAAAAAGTCGACATCTTTAAAAAATAGGGTAAATGCTATAACGTTCTCGTGCAACGGGACATACCGTAATTGCTAACTTGCTTCTGCCCGGGTACTGTAACAAAAGGATCAAAGGGCAAAGCATTACTAACATTTCAGGTGCTATGACCACAGCCCATTGGCTGTAGCCTACTCTAGGAATCTAGGGCCTCATCCCCAATTTAAAGCGAATCTCGCTATGGTACGGTTGCTCAGCCGCACGAGGTGGCAGTATGCAGTAACCACGCCTACCGATACGGTACGCGAAGCCACCTCGGGAAGTGGAGTTGTTGTATAGCAACGAGATTCGCTTCGAATTCGGGACAAGGCCTAGGATACGTTCAGGATATCAGAAGCTGAGTCCTGCTGGGTATCAGTCGTCCAAGTAAAAGCTGCGATCTTCCAGACGTTTGCACAAACTATGTACCTACTGAGCGGCAATACTCACACAAAAGCCGAAAATCCTAGACATTCTTTGAGTCCTAATTATGCCGCAAATGAAATGTAGGAGCTGGTTACCGTTTCCCGAAGGCAGTCCCAAATTCTAAATTTATGGCGGTAAATTTTTGCTGTAGTTGTCTAATGTACGGTCTCAGCCAACATACGAAAGACTAATCCGTGTGTAAACTGGAAGAAGGGCAGCCAAGTATTTTGGATAGCGGGAAAGATTTTCTCAAGGGAAGCGACAGGTAGCTGTACATTATGCCAAAGCCGCGACGAACAGTTGAGAGCGTTTGGGAGTGAAGGAATGCAAAAGGTTTACTAAATGAACACGAATTGTGTGTTAATACTATACTGTAAGAACAACCTATCTGACTGCTGTTCTAGTGGGGTGACGATCAGTCTTTACCACGATTATACGGCTGTTGGGATGAAAGGTGGCACGACCGGCAACGATGCTGGCCGTGGACGCTAATGTAACACAATTACACAGGTGGCTCCGATTGGGATGACACAGGTTCATCCCAAGCGGTCAAACGCAACAACGTAACTCACGGAATGGTTAATAACAAGGCGTTCAAGAAACGGAGCAAGGTTTAGGGCAAGAGTTTGAGCAAGAAGCACAAGTTGATCAAGCAGATGCAAGCTGTATAGCAAGCTGAGAACAAGACTGAATACTAAAAAATCATGAGAAAGGAAACTAGCCGGTAAAGTGGACAAATTCTTAACGCGATGGGAGATGAATCATAACGGGGTGGTCTTATCGTTCGTACAAATACTATCGCTACAATATATATATATATATATATATATATATATATCGGAACACTTCCCTTGATGCGTGACGACCACGGGAACGGTGATCGTCATTCGGTCTATCATCATTCATCACTATCGCCATTTTGCCATTTGCTGTGGCAAACTGGTAAAACTGGCAAAATGAGAATTACTAGCGGCGCCATACTCTAACTTGTTATTAACGAGAGCAATAATTTCCCAAACGTGGATGCCGAGTGCCGATGTAATGTTCGAAAATGGTTATGTGGTTGACGGTGGTGTGTCCAGGAACGGTTATAGCCGACGGCAAAGGTTATTTAAAACGGTGTTTTGGGAAGGTTAAATAGGACGGTAAGGTGTTGACGGCGGCAAAGGTAAAGGTGAACTTGAAAAAGGCAAAGTGAAAAGGCAAAGGGGAGGCAAAGGTACTCTTGGCCGACCCGTTTTTCTTTCATGTTTGCTCGCTTATGAACTTTTAATGCTTGGTACGTCTAATCTGTGAATTTGTTGAAAAATGATAAAAAGGCTTCACTGTTGGAACGAGGAAATGCCCTTGTCTTGTCGTCCTTTTAGTGTTTAAGACATGAGATTCAACGTGTGGTTGCTGAGAGACTGTTTGATTCTTCTCATGCCAACTGGAATGAATTCTGCAATCAAATGATCTCTAAACTCTATACAGGCATAGCATACTGGAACATAAACACAACATACTGTTTAAAGTTGGCAGCGCCAAGCACACTATCGCCGTATCCGTTGTTAAGCGGTAGAAAGCGAAATACCAAATAGTTCCATAATGCATTTTCAATAGAGCAATATCCAGCCGGCGGCCGGCTGTGCGACACGCCGTCGCGGGACGTTTGGCCGTGGGGCAATTCAGTTGAACATGTGGACCATTCGTCGTGAGACAACTAGGGCCGGACATTTGGTTTTATGACAATTCGTCTGAGGACAATTTGTTTTTGTGGTAGATGGTCACCGTTTTCGTAAAGCACTCGATAAGCTTCCGACTCCCAAAGTCGCGCCTCTCTTGATGTCGCCCAGTAAATCAGCTGCGAAACAAGTTGTCCGAAAACGAAATGTCACTGCGACGAAATGTCTCAGGATGAAATGTCCTGCGACCACTTGGGTTGTCACGATCCACCAGACGATTATTATCACTTAGCAATCTCGGGGAATAAAGAGGCCTGATCGAGCCAACGCCGCTTATTTAACTGGACAAAAATATCTCTGTAGTTGATTAGTATATGCAGCACGACATTTCTGATGCGTAAATACTAAGCAGTAAATGCACGAAGGACTACTTATTGCAAAAAGCACATATACCAATAAATTAATCAAGAAACGGTAAAGTGCTGCTACCAGAGGATGCATGCTGAAATAGTGTTACAGCTCGCATACGGGTTAAAATAATACTGTTAGTGTTTACTATTGGAGCAGTCTCAGTTCCCTACGAAACACTGTATCTGAAGTTCTGAACACTGGTGAATAATTAAAATGCTAACTTCTTGCCAAATGGAATGCTTAGTGTTTTACCATGAACTGCGCATCATGTTTTTTGCTGTCAGGAGAAATGGGGCGCATACTCGGGGATCTACCGTGGCCATTGTCTCCATTTCGTTCTACAGGTATTCGCCCTCAACGGCATTCTTGAAGCGCGAAGTCAACCGCTTCCACCAACTCCAGGCAAATATCTGCCCGACATTCAGCCACCAGCTAAGACGATTATCACTCAGAAGGATGTAGAATTCATTTTTCCGGTAGACATTAACGCCGATAACTCCCAAATCCAACAAAGAGTCCATCATGGGACCGATAATAATCAGGGTTGTGCAGAAGCGCATTGCGGTACAGGTATCAACGATCTGCTGACGTACGGCTTCGCTCCCGATGAACGACGATGGATTTCGGCGAACTTCCTGAGAGAGTGTAATGATCCGCCGGGCGTAGTGCAGCGCTCCGATGGCACTCCCGCAGTAGACGATCCCAGGAACTGCAACGGCATTCAGCAGGTACATCGCGCGTTTTCGGAAACGCGTGTCTTCCGACTACAAGGATTTTTAGCGCATGGTCATCGCTCTACTAGTACGAAATGATTCATTACTTTCGTACGAGGTCAAGATATTAACACGAGACAGGGGACAGAACGGAAACCTGTGGAAGGTATTCTCCCCGAAGTATTGCCTAATGCTGCTCTAGATTCCCGGCAGTTTTTTTACGACAGTTACGTAGAAAATCTTTTCACCGGAGTCAAACGCACACTCTTACCTCATTAAGAAGCGCGTAGGAGGCATAGGTTATACCACCCATGGCGCTGAAAGTATCTAATGGTATCCTGAGGACCATTAGAACTAGAAGGGCTACAGTTTGACGAATGACCGTTTCCGCCCACTGGTGTATGTTTTCAATGTGGCTCACCAGTTTGCTGTACGCATCTGGATCGATCGCTCCCCGATCACTCGCGGCAGTCACCGCGCCGTACGAATTTTCGAGTTTCGGGCTATGTTGCCCACGAGCATCCTTCCGAACCATCGTTAAATAAAATTACTGTGATTACAGTCAATACGAACTAAGGTACCGGTTTCGAGAACGATATAAACGAAGAGGGAGTGAAATAGAGTTTTAGAAGAAAAAAAGCCGCAGCAGTTGTCGAAAGTATATTTTTAAGGTTGCGGTTTTTGCTTTGTGCGCGAGCGATGGTTGCTAAAGCAGTTTACTCTTGTCTAAAAATATGCAGCCATAATTGCTGTTTGCTTAATGCCTCTTCTGAGCTGAAGTGCAGACGCAGCTAAACGGCATCGATGACAGGAAATCGGTAATGCCATGCCATCGATCGATGTTACAAGCGGGATTTGCGCAAAGCGTTGTGCAGGTGTCTGCTGTAGCAATACTTGAACTGTTTAATAAAAGGATCGTTGCATAGCGGCTGCTTGTTCAATATGCAGCTGAGCCAAATAAATATACAGCCATGCCGAATATCAACAACTCTGCTGTCGTTCCTCAATGTAAATTGAGTGCATGGCTTCAACAAGGAATGTGGACCGCTATCAAGGATAAAATTGTATTGTGAACAGCTATCAAGGATAAAATCTTGATGTATGAGAGATCCGTGCAAGACGCTCATTTGAAACATCACATTTTTCGGTTCACCTGCATGCACTTAAACTTTTCCGAAATCATTTTAAGTAACTAAATCTCCCACTAATGTTGGGCGTGCAGACGGATTTCACGCCCAGGCAAACGAAATCTCTGAATACGAAACCTTACAAAACAATGAAAATAAAGTGTCTGAAAATGTGGGAAAGCAGAAGTTTCGGTGCATGTAAAGAAACTGGTATCATCAGTCATGTAATTTTTTTCGCTAGGAATGGAGTCTTCAGTGCGAGAGAAAAATTGTGGGAAATTCTAAAGGATTCTAATACATACTTTAATTAACTTGTATCTGTGTGACATATAATGATCGTCCCGTGGGTGCCACAAAA